AATTATTATTTAACTACATTAGAAGCATTCTGAAGGTTCTTGTAATAGCATTTTATTCCCTGAGTTTCGAATCAAATTATTATTTTAACCTTTTTAATTTAGCATTGATCGATATTAAGACAATAATATTGTATTTGCATAAAATTGTTGTAAAATTGAATAAAGAAGATTTTTACACAAACAAAAGTTTATCTTCCTGTCCAAATAACAAATAAATCTATTTATCTATATATTTTAAAAACGCCCTGAATTGATCAAAGCAGATCATCCCTCCATAAATTGCATCTCTAATCATCATATATTGTTACTGAAACAAATTTTCTCTCTAAAGCATATTATATACCTTCTTCTAAATGTTCTAAAATAGTGCATTTTGACTGAGAATCTACTATACTTAATGCTATTAATATATATACTGACCTTTTTTGCTATTATCTTATTTGTATTCTATTGTAAACACAGCAAGAAAGCTTCTTAACTACAAACAATATACAAATTAGCTACTACCTTTACCGTGTTCCTCAGTTTAATACTTACCTCGTAGTGCGCAAGACGTAGTGGGACCATATCCTATGCCAAACTGGATTACCTCTATGTTTTTAGGAAGATTACAATAAAATATAATTCGAAAACTCACATTTTACTGGAAGGTTCCGAATATAGGAATTATTTTTATATGGTTTTTAAATTCTTTGATATACTCGTTTATTTATTTTATCCATTATTTTTATTGTAAAAAAACTAAAATATTAAATTAATTTGTACAAAAATATCCTTTTATTAAGTACACGGCCAACTATTAGTATGTTTTAATAGCGCTCAGAGATATTTCAGTAAAAAATACTTTTGGATATTTTTATATACTGTTTCAATACATCCTCACAATATGCCTGGCCCTAGCCTCAAATTATTAATAGCTTTTGTAGCAATTAATAATTATTATATTATAAAACACGGGTAAAATTTCACATATATATAATTATCATATGAAAAATTAGGTTATTCTACATAAAATGATTATCGACAATTATTTTTACTGTGATTGCTGGCTTTACCTGATTAGCTATGATCGCTAACTATTTCATTTACCACCGAAATATTTCCATCTATATGTATAACTTTAGTATATTAGCTTATGCTATTTAGACATGACGAAGTTTAATAATTAGCAATGGAAATCAACAGTATCCAGAATTTTCACTGTATTTTGACTTTAAAATCACTCTAAATGTTAACTCACATTTGAATAATAAAGCATTCATGAAAATCTTTATAGTTTTTTTATAGTATACAATATTTCTTTAAGAATCGCCTTAAAATCTAATCATATCGAATAAAAAATTTTCCTAATTTACTTATGGATATAATATTAATGTGGGCCTCATTTGACTAATCTATGTATTGCAAAATTAATTAATAAGCTAAAGAAATTTAAAAATTATAATGAAATATTATCCGAAGAATCCTCGAGTTAAGAAGGATTTGACTATTCACCTCAAAGTTTAGTGTATAAAAATATTTTTAAAATTTATATTTAATATTTATCAATTATAAACTTCAAAGTCAGTTAAAATTGAAAACTACTGATCCAAATTAATCTATTAGTATCTATTCTCATTAACTAGCACTCACAAACTTTGATTTTATTTTCATGTTCAAGATATTTTCCAGCTATTGCTAACCTAACTAACTCAAAAACAGTTTTTCAATATCTTCCTGACTCACTATGGTGCAGAAAATGTTTGTCTGTAGATATTGTAGAAAGTATAATAATCTATTAAACGAACTCTCTATTTAACTATTTATCTTAACTATGTCTCAAACGTTTGCAGGAATTACATAATTTGTTATACAATTATCTGAATCGTCATTTTAAGGCCGAGACAGGTTTCCTTATAAAGCCTATGTAATTTGCCACATTAGTAAAAATCAAAAGAGAACAAAGTATAAATAATTTAAATTAGGATTCCTATAATAAGGCTATTTCGCCTAGATTCACCAAAATAAGTCTAATCAAAAGATTTATTATGATTTACAGGCATTTGGCCCAAACTTTTAAAGACCTATAATTTAAGCAAACAACTAATTAGAAATACCTAAAAGTTAAGTTATTGAGGTAAGAAATAAAATATTTATTAGTATCAAGTCTGAAAATTATACGTGAATGTAATTTTAGTCCTCTTTTTTTGACCTTATTTAGCATAGCTTGAATAACATAGTTTTTCACTTATTTTAGTCATGTTAACCATTATTCCAAGTTACTTACTTTAAATCCATCACAATTCTGCCTAATTTATTATTCAAAAATCGATCTGAAATGGAGAATTTAAATATAAACTTCATTATTTATTTTTATTTTTGGTATCAGTAAACTAATAATTGTAATCTCAATGAATTGTATAGTCCTATTATCTCAATATTTCTAAAATTTTATCTACAAAGGCTTGATTCAACTTTTGTAGACATTATAAGTTGTTGATTTTATGACTACCTGCGTGAAGTTAGCAATAACCTACATAAAAAGTCTCCTAATTTGCAGCGCGATCTCATCTCGTTTAAGGTACTATTCCTATTTGTATCTAAATCAATGTTGCTATTGTCAGGAGAAAACAGTAAAAAACTCAAATACATAATAGATTCTAGAATTATGCAGAATACGTATGACTTTCGAAACATCGAAGGATTCTCTTAAACCTTTTTAATAGCAAATTGTATTTTGTATAATATTTAAAAACTTTCGGCAAATTTATCATTAATATCATAGGCAAAATTAAATAATTAATAATTATGAGATTAATGTTTACACATTGTAGGTAATTATCTGTATGTCTATGTTTTAGTCATTTAAATTAGGCGTCCGCTTAATTTGAAACACCTTTTTAATATTTTCTTTTTATTTATTTCTTTGTATTGATTACAGCAATAATTGATGCGAATTCCAGCTCATCCCGGGGGTACGAATATGCATTTCATCAGAGTCAAGCGAATTGTTCTCCATCTATACTTCCAATACAGAGGCGCTGGTTTCATAGTCATCTTAGACAGGAAAATGCTTGGCTAGCTGTACTTCTCGGCATTGCTTCTGAATTAGGCTGGCTCGCATCGCATGGCCAATCAACTATACTTTCCGGCCTAACTTTTCCCGAGGGCCCTCTACGCATCCTCCATGATCACCTTGCTTATAGTATCTGGTTGGGAGTGGCTTCCGTTTGTGGTCACTTCGGAACAGCCTGGCTACCGGCGGTTGGAGCTGAGATAACACAATCGGAGGATGGCTTTGGATTTGATAATAGGCTGTCTTCTTCTAATTCGATGGCCAGCCTTCTAAACAGGATTCCTATCAATAAAAAGTTGAGTATGGAGGCCGAAAATGTTGTACAAGTCAAGGCACTAATAAATACAAATAAAACTATAAACAAAAGTAAAAGTATCCATCAAGCTGATAACCAGCTTGACTGGGCTGAAGGTGAAATTTCACAGGAAAGAAGTTTTGTAGCTAATTTGCTACCATGGAAACTCATCGACAATAGCTCTAGTCCGAATTCTAACAAGAAAAGCAACAGTCAATCTACGTGGAAACATCAGTTAAATATATCTACAAAACTGCCCACAGAATTTGATATGATGGCGGATGATCATGCCTCGGCAGCGTACTCCGAATATGGAAATATGCAGTCCGAAGAGCCCTATGGTGGAGAAGATAGTAGG